AAGAAATTATTCCTAGAAATTCAATTCACGATTTCTGTTGTTTGCAACAAGTTGTTTAAAGTAATGTAAATGATGAAGTATGTAATATAAATAACGGTTTCTCAAAATTGTAACACCCATTTATAAGCAACAGTAATTGAATATGTTAAAGTTAAAAGGTTTTCGCAAATAGTGTAATGTTATCAATATATGGACCTGTGCTAGTCATTATAAGTAGAGTTACATGGGATAAATTATGAGTCGGCTTAAATTGTAGGATTGCATAAAGTGAGAGTGAAAACTTCGATGCTGTTATGGTTTTTCTAATTTTCAGATGTAATTTGTTAGTTACACAGTGTAACCAAAAAACTGTCATATATTTTCGCTGATTCTACTCTCACATTAAAGCGACACCTACTATTAATGGACGAAAGTTGCAATTGCTTTCTCAAAGTAGCCATTCAATCTGCACCATTTCATCCGCAATTCATTGCAGCATAACTCAGTTTGTATAAACCTCATATTCACTTGTAATTAATTAATACTGCATCTGCGCTAAGCTCAGGATTGTCAATCTGTCAATCAAAGTAAAGCGATTTGTATTATATGTCAATAGAGCGAGATTATTATTTAAAACACCGCAAGGATTCGTTTACCTTCCCTTGCGCACTCATGAACTCCACAATGGGAGTTGCAGAACTCAAAATCCGTCCATAAGTTATCCTTCCTGGATAATCTTTAACCTAGGTTTTTGAAATGGTGGTTTCCATTACAGAGAAAAGCGGTGATCAAACCTTCTTTAAATTTGGTTTAGATGCATTTCAAGCAGAATTCCAAATTAATGCACTTTCATTGCATGTTTATTTATTGCGGGAATGATTGATATCACAGTGAAATGTGGAGTGCAAGTGATTGCTGTCCGTCTTCTATGTTAATGCTAAGAGCATCAGTTTACTAAATAGGGATGATTCTCAGCTGTGCCATATGTGCACTGTAAATACTATGTTACTCACATTGAGTGGATACGCCTCTGCAGTTATCATATGCACCAATAGAGCCGTGGAAGATTTTCCATAGCTTGCTGTCTTCGATACAAACAGCTCCACCGCCACGTTTAAACTGTGAAACCTGAAATCTAACATTATTTTGCGACAATTACCAGAGTTTGACAATATGCAACATACCTGTCTGTTCACATCGCCAATACAAACGGTGGGCACCTTTTTATTCAAAGAAACTCCCCATTTAGAGTGATCCTTTGAACTATTATATGCAGTGCCCAAAATCGTTACCGTATTGATGTCGTAGACCTGGAAGAGCTTAGTAGCACTATGCAATAGTAGAGAATCTTTCAATACTGAAAAACGAACAACGGAAAGCAACTCTAAACAATACATGCACAGCAGAAACGTTGAGAGCAGGTTTGTGTCTTTATATGCTTTTTGCAAAGGTAGAGTCAATAGAGCACTAATAGCGTTATTATATTGTGTAGCAGACTTGGCAAGATCACCTTATTTCGGATTTGAGTTGGAACAGGGAAGAATGCAGATGATAACGAGTAATTGATGGTGATAGATTAAGTGGGTACGCATGGGTATATATATATATATATATATATATATATATATATATATATATATATATATATATATATATGATGCATTCGAGTCCCACACAA